CCATGAATAGTACAAATAGAGGAAATGCGTAGTTGAGCATCAATGGAGGTTGGTTTCACCGTACCATCGCATGAGGTACCATCGCATCAAAAGAGAAACCACCATTTCGGTGTTACAGGCTGGAAATGCAATGTAGAAATACATCCCGAAGGATTCATCTTTCTGCTCGTTTCTTGCCATTATCCGTTTGGACGCGACAGCTGAACTCTCCAAGTTGATCCAAGGCAACTTCTCCAGCACATTTCGCTGTCCATGGCTGTACCGAAGGTGGCCCCGTTCTACGGAAATGCCCCCTTCATACTGGAAACCGGCGACCTCACTTCAGCTATCGCTTCAGGCCTCCTTCGACCGAACGTCTTCGTTCAGCAAACCGACCGAAATCTAGAAAACTACGGCGTCGCCTACAGTCGCAAGGACAATATCGGTATTGAGACTCATGGTTCTCAAAAAGCCATTCAAACTCGCTGTAAGGAATTTGCTAAGTCTTGCGGATTCCAGCTGAAGGTTGCGGGATTCAGCAGTAAACACGGCGGTGGTAATGCAAAGTACGTCTGCAAGAAATTGAACGGTCAGCAGTTCTTCGACAAGGAAGCTGACCAAGGCGCCATCAGTTGTCCCTTTTTCTTCAACGTCAGTGGAGTTGCCGGTGAATGGAAGGTGATAAGGGCCAATTTCTGCCACAACCATCTCAAGAACGTCGGGTTTTCTGGACGCCCTGTTGCTGAAGGGACCATCGCTCGTCCTGACAAAGACCTGTGGAATACAACACAGCAGGTCGACGAGATGATCCGCCTGGTCCGATCCGAAATGCTGAACAAGTATGAAGGCAAAACGGACCGGATGACTGGAGCTGCAATCGCTAAGTTTCTTCTCGGGAAAGGAATTTCGACAGGTCGGTCTTCAATAAGCCGAATTAAGCTAACCCTTGACGAGTTGAACCACGGCGATCGATTGACTAACTACCAAAACCTGGAAAGTTATCTGAAGCTCATGGCAGAAAAAAAAATGCAGGCTCGGTCTGGAAATTCGAGAAGAACTTTGATGGAACTTTTCAGCGTGCCTGCTTCATTCCAAGTATCGGTATTCGAGTGGCAAGAGCGGGTAGGCGTTTATTTGCAGTCGACGGTGCTCACTTGAAAGGTGAGATGAACAACTATGGAGTTTATCTCGTCGCGACAGTGAAGGACTACGACAACCACATTCTACCTTTCGCATTTTCTCTCGTCCCGACAGAAAACTACGATCACTGGGTGTGGTTTTTATCTGCGGTGAAA